AATGTTAAATAATTAAAAAATATTTTTTCTTTGTTTCAAAAGATGATATTAAAAATACTCAAATTGCTGTTGAACATTCAAAATTTGAATCTTTACAAAGACAGCTCTGCAATCTTGATAATAAAAATTCTGGAATTGGAGTTTATCAAGTTTACAATTGTTCATATGTTGGTGATAGAGTATCTTTTTATCAAATTAGCAATGGAAGAGTTTTTGACATTTGTGAATTATATGTTTTCGGTGAAAAACAACCTTACAATTCAAAAGGTCAAGGTCAGAAAAACTTGTTATGTTTGTTAATCTTATACCATATCTTTCACAGACCTAGGTAATATCATTATGGCCAGAAAAGGATTTTCAAAATCTTCAACAGATATAATATTAAATTCTTATTGCAATTTCATTTCAAATGATCAATACATTCAATTTCCTAATACTCATAGAATAATTGCAATTAGTTTTACCCTAATAAAATCAGTACACTTCACTTCCGCTTTAGAAATTTATGGAATAAGTGAAAATACAAAAAAATTATGCATCTCAGTTAAATATAATATGCAAATTGAAACACCAACAATATCTACATTTGTCTGCAAAAGTGAAATAATTGCAAAATATATTCGAATTTATTCATCTGATATCAATTTTAAAATTTGCAAATATTCTCTGATTAGTAAAGAAGAAATTCAGGCAAAAGGAAGTGAGTGTATGATTTATTTATTATATCATTTGCATATAATATAGATAAAATTTGCATAAAATTCAGATAACTATAAATTGGAGAAAAGTTATAAGATATTAAAACCTACTTTCATTCACTCAAAACATAATACATCTTCTGTTGTTGATTGTTGGAAAAAATGTTGGAAGAGTTCCCTCTGCACAGATATATCATATTCAATAGAAACTAAAATATGTTTATTCAGTGAATTTGATATACTGGAATATTTTCAGAGTTTTTTTATGCAACATTCACAAAGTATTTCCATATTCTCACAAAATCCTGGTATCCAATTATCTCCATTATGCCTTTAAAGTTAATTATTTAAATATCAAAATACATTTCCAAAGTACAAAACTTCATTTATTCATTTAGACTCAAATAATGAATTTAATATTTTTCCAGTGTTTGTTAGTTCTATTAAAATAATTTTTTCTTATTTTGAATAATGAAATATACAACGGAAATTATTAGAATAACTAATACAGTTGTTGCAGTAATAACTCCAATAATAACATAGCTTACAAAACCTTGCTGGAAAATGTCTGCCTGACTTGTGGTCACCATTTCAGAGAGATGGTTGGAATTGCTAGTTGAATCAAATTCCTCTGTAGTTGTATCAAATTTCTCTGTGCTTGATATTTCGTTTGTGGTTGTTAACAATTCAACTTCTTCATCTCCCTTTTCAATGAAAACATAAAATGTTGCTGTGCTTGAGCAAGGACTACTTGATCTATCTGATACAATAATATAGCTTTTAAATTGTCCAATAGGAAGGGGATATTGAATTGTTACAATTTCATTAGAATTCTCTTTCACACCTAATATATCCAAATCTTCGGTTTGTTTAATGCTAAAAATCATATCTCCTTCCAAACCAGAATCAGAATCAACAGCCTCAATTCTTGTCACAAGAAATCCCAGTGGAACTGTAGAATTAAGAAGTATTTTATCATTGGAATGAGGTTGATTTATCATTGAACACTCATTTACATCAGCCACATTGATAGTAATTTCTGTTGAAGAAGATAATGCTTCTACTGTATTCTCAATTGCCATCACTTTTACATTGTATTTACCAGGTGTAAACTTTCCATTTGATCTTATAATTCCTAAAGTTTCATCTAGGGTTACTGCAATTTCTGAAGAAATTAGATTATAAAATATTCCTTGAACTGATCCTACATCTGTGTCATTTGCTTGAATTTGCAAAATGTACTCATTCATATGTATAAATTCATCAACTTCCACTACATATTTATCCTTCAGAAACACTGGAGGCACCAGTTAGGTTCAGCTCTCTCAGAACAATTTTTTCCCTGATAATCTTTTCTACACTGACAGATATTTGGTGCTATACAGACACCATTTCCAGAACAATTTGATTGATTGTTACATAATGCTTCTGAGCAGGTTTCTCCAAACCAATGTTCATTACAAGAACAATGATCAAATGATATACATTTCCCATGACCAGAGCAATAATTCAAAGATTCACATGAGAATTCAGAACAGTCCATTCCCTTGAATCCTGGATTACATTTGCACTCTTGAGCTGATATACAAATTCCATTTGTAGAACAAGGTGGATCACATACTGGATCACTACAAGTCTTCCAGTGTAACCATCATCACAAATACACTCTTTTTGTTTTACATATTCCATGATCACTACAATTGTCCAAATGAGGACAATTTATCATTGAATCACATAATTCACCTTCAAATCCATCAATACAAATACATTGGTCAGGATTTATACATTCTCCATTTAAAGAACATTGATTTTTGCAAATTGGTATAGAGCAAGACTCTTCTTGCCAACCTTCCTTGCAGAAACAAATGTCAAAACCTATACAAGATCCATGATTTGAACAATAATTTAAATTTTCACAACTAAACAATGAACAAATGTCTCCTGTATATCCCATGTTGCATTTACATTTATTATGGTCAATGCACACACCATTTTGGGAACATCCTCTTGAACAAATTGCCTTTTCTGAACAATTGTTTGATGTCCATCCTTCTTCACATTCACAAATTCCAGTTTTCACGCACACTCCTCTTGATGAGCAATTATTTTTGCAAAATGCTTCAATCTCACAAGTTGATCCTTCAAAACCTTTAAAACAAGAACAAAATCCACCAGAGCAATTTCCATTAATACATTCCCCACAAACACCAATTTCACAATATTCTCCTGACCAACCATCAATGCAAATACATCCTTTTTCTTGGCAAACACCCCTATTATAACACTGATTTTTGCATTGTTTAGAAGTCAGAACACCTTGCTTGGCTATTGTTGGATCATTTGTAAGTATTACATCATAGATACATTTTATTTTGTCATCATCATCAACCTCATTGGCTTGGCATAATTTTGAGGCCATGTCAATTTTTGTTTGTGAGAAGTTCTGAAGATTATATATTGGCTGATGCGATGTGGTTGTATAGCTGGAATCCATTATGTCATCTTTGTGGAAGTTTGAAATGTTATTTAACCAAGATTTATATAATCCTCCATTTTGATTAAATGTATCAACCATTCTCCATGATTCTACAAAATCAATGTGTGATGAATAGTTTTGTCCATTTGGTCCTCGAAATCATCATTTTCATCATCATTCATTACTCCACATAAACCTGAAGTTTGATTAAACATATCTTTATCAGCAATAATTGAAATGCTTAGATATTGTCTTTTCATTTTATCACTGAATGATGTAATGACTGAAATTGATGACCCACTATTTAATTTCATGGATATGATAAGAATTGTTGGATCATCTCCATTAAGAATTGAGATTTTGGAGAAATATCTACTCGAATTGAGCTGTTGTCAAATTTTAATGAATGATTGCTTTCCAAGTTGCCAATGAGACTTCCATCTATCCTTAAGAATGGATATTCACCAACAGTTACATCTCTCCTAGTGGACAATGTAAGAATAGATGACTCACCAACTTTCAATGCAATTGCTCCTATAAATGATGTTGTTTTATGTGCAAAGAATCTGTATTGATAAGAGAGAGAAGATGAAATACATCCCCAAAATTGACCAATTCCAAAATAGTCAAAGGACCTGCCATCAAGTGTTTCTAAATGTGGATCACCCCAAGTAATTCTTGGTCTTCGTATTTCACAAGCAGTACCAAACCATAGATGATGACATTTGCATCTGGATTGACAATTTTCAGCACTAATACAGTCACCATGTCCACTGCAAGTATTGGAAGGATAACAAATAGGTTGTTTACATTCTTTACCTTTTCTTTGATGCACACAAAAACCATTTATGCCACATTGACTCCTACACTTGCATTCACCCGTTGGTGATCTCCTTACAATGGTATTTGCTGAACATCTTGAGCAAGGCTCACAGTAGCATAAACCATTTACCAATCTTGATAAAGTGCCATCTGGGCAGGTACAAGGACAACCAGTATTTGAATTGTATAAATGTTTAGCTGATCCATCAGAACAACAAAGACAATCTCCATCATTAATTTTATAGCTGTGTTCCCTCTTTCCTTGTGAGCATTTACAAGAGCAAATGCAATCCTTTGTTAGTGGGTGTGTGTAACCAAAAGAAATGTCATTATTGACAAAACAATTACATATATTATACAATCTTCTATATCTTCTATTGTAGATTTCACATTGGCTATAACATGGGAAAAGTATTTTATTATATTAAAGCTTTTTTACAATGTAAAAATTTACCTTCCAATTATTAAATGATTGGTGTGATATTCTTGATAAAAAATATCTTTTTTATTATTAAATGAGAAAATTTCACCTGATATTTTCATTTGTTTAAAATTGACAGTTGATGTAATGGGTTTCATCATATCTTTACAGATATTACTATTAGCATATCCACCTTTTATTTCTAATTCTTTGGTAAGATTCATTGATATTTTTACAGGAAGATTTTCTCTAGATTTCAATTTCTTTACAACTATATCTGGTTTTTTAATTTTTGCATATTTAATCATTTTTACATTTAAAGGAAAGTGACACTGTACTTACTAGCAAGCCAGTTGCTAACTGAATTCAGCTGACCATTTGAATGGAAATATTTTTTATGATTTAATTGTGTCTTGGAATTTGTAATCCTTTTGTACAAAGGCCACTTAAGTGATAATTGCATTATAAATGGAATATTTAAATCACCATAGCCAGATGAATGTAATTTTGTGTGACATATATTTCTTTTTCTTTCCACAGTAGTTTTATAGTTGTCAATGTTTTCTTTATCATAATATATGAAACTGCTATTCATTATACTTGAAAATATACATTGGTCAGATGATAAGTTAACTATACTTCTATATTCCATCTTTGATTCACCAACTGATAAATTTGAGATGGTTATCAAACCAGGAAAATAGTATCCATTAATTTCATAGTAAAATAGATGTTCATATGATCTGCGGTCAATAGATGATAAAATATTATTTTTTAGTGTGGTATGTGTATTTCTTTTTGTAGAAAATGTAAATTTAACATCCACATCAGAATTGACTGAAAATGAAGGTTTTATATAGTTTATGCCGGAAATTGGGGTAATTTTTGTCTCAATTGTTGTCTGAATTATTGAATTATATTTAGCAGCAATTGAAAGTTTAAGATTTGAATTCTGTCAAAGTGATAAATAAGATTAGTTTATAGAGAAATTTAAGTATTTGCAATGTTTGAACTTACATCTTCTCTTACAGCAGGAAAATTTCCCTGTATTATTGTTGAAGAACTAAGTGAAGTAATTTTCCTTGATTTCACTGTCAGTTTTTCAATATCATCATAAATAACTTCATCTATCATCATATTTTTTGAAAGCAATTCTAAATTTATCATTTCTATTGCTTTCCAGCCATTTAAAAGGGATTTTGAATTTAGGACATAACCTAAGGATGGACCTGTTTTCTTACCAATTATTAATTTACCTTCAGTCATTCTTTCATCATTCTTTAAGTAATGCAACTTTTTCTTATCATTTACACTATATGTACTTGTACAATCAAGCTGAGAGTTTAGAACTTTTAAATGACTTATATTTTCATTTTCCAACACATTTTGAGAACAGTCAACCAATTCAGTTTCAACAAAGAGGTCTCTATTGGTATTTTTTCTAAATTTAACAATTCTTTCCAAAAAATAAGAATAATTTTCAACAGATACTGCATCTCCTATTGCAAAGTTACTATTCTCTTGAACCATTATGTAATAAGACCATAAAGATTTACTCCTATACAGATATTCTTCACCAAAACATTTCACTGTTTTCTGTTTGCTAATAATTCTTGTTTGATGATTCAATTGAAGGAAATTCAAAATATAATTCTCATTAGTACTTAGCATTTTCCTTGAGTTGGAATTATCTGAATCAGAAAATTGACCATCAGCTTTAAAATGAGCATATTTAAAAATATCTAATGGATTAACAGCATATCCAATCAAGATTTCATAATTCAATAGAGAATCCATTTTATGGGTAATTTTATGATGTAATCCCTTTGAATTCTTACTTATCATAATATTTCCAATTTTAAGTGATAAGCTGTTTCCTTCCAAGATATATATGTCATATTCATCATTTAAATCTCCATGTAATAATTCTTCACTACTGCATTTATATAAAATTGATGTTGATGGTATTTCAATAACATTTTCATGAAACTGAATATTTATTAATCTTTCTTCAGATAATAAATTTGGTGTTGGAAAACCTTCTTTACATTTTTCTTCATTCCATATTTTACAACCAGTAGAGGTTTCTTTAAAGCAATTGATAATATCCTGGCATTGTTCACAAAAATAATTGTTAGTGTTTGAACAATGGTGTTTTTGACAGTTATGTGTTATAATTTGATTTGAACAGGAATTTGGTTCTATAGTTAAACAATTCCAATAGAACCAATGAGGACATGCTCTATTAGGTTTATCTGCTAACCCTGGAATACACCTTTCAGTAGTATCACACCATCCACACCCTTCTCTTTGTGTGCATTGTTTACAAGATGTAAAGCGAGGACAAATTGAGATAGAACATCTCCTACCATACCATCCAGGATTGCACCTACATATATTTGGCCCTACACAAGTTCCATGATTTGTACAATATCCAACATCTTCACAAGTGAATAATGAACAGTCATGGTGGGTCCATCCTGATTCACAGGAACAGGTTGTTCCATAACAAATTCCTCTTTTAAAACAATTATTAGTACAGAGACCAAATTTAATCTCCCTACAAACAAAGGGTTTAATGATATCATTTCTGCTATAATTACCAATTCTTGAATAGTACTGTTGTGAGTCAGCAGCATCCCATATATCAGCTGTCATGTGAGCATTATTACCATCAGTATATGTAAGTGTATTTTGTATATCTCTATTTCTTATTAGAAAGTCTCTTGTTAAAAGCATAGACATGTTTGAAAAACACCAATTTGCAGCATCGTTAAATGATAAAGGACCAAAATGAAAATAGAAGCAATATTGTTGTATATATTTCCAGCCCTTAAATCCACAAAAATTGTTAACTTTAGTATTGGTTGGTATTTTCTCTGAAATTGGGGAATAGTCAATCAATTTTAAAGATGAATCATGTCTTCCATCAAATATTCTATTATGAATATTGCTGTGAAGTGTTTTACCCCACCAATTATTTGAACAATTATTAGAAATTAAACCACAGGTATTTGACAGACAAGCAATTTGGAATGTTGTTACATCATCATCTAAAATATTCTCATTAATTTGAATATTTTCTGCAGATGTAGAAATGATCTCTGCTTTGCCAGAACTTCCTGTATTGATATGAAATGTACTATCTTGAATTTGTATAATGCCTTCAGTAGTATTTTGAGAAAGATGAAAGATTAGATTATTAGCAGCTCTATTTTTATAAAATATACACTGAGTTATAAATGTATTTGTATTGATAATTCTAATAAAATTTATATTGCTTGAGCATTCTCCAAAATAATTTTGGTGTAAAATAACAGAAAATTTCTCCATATTAGAATTATGAATATACAATATTTGGCCAGAATTCCAATGGAAATTACTTTGAACTATAACTATTCTTTGTTTATCCAGAAAAGAATAGACATTATTATAAATATGAATATTAATTGCACTTGAACTGCAATATTGAAATTTTAAATTTTTCATAAAAACTCTTGAACGTCTGCCTTTAACATCTATTACATTGCTAGATTTAGTAAATTTTACATTTTCAACATGTATATAAGTTTTATGATTTAATGTCTGATCAAAAATGTTGATAGATTCTCTAGATTTGATAAAATTACTATTAACCACTTTCAATTCTGAATTATCTGTTTCTTTTTCACAATACACATAAGATGGTTCTCCAAAACTAACACAACTGCTATATCTCAAAAGCAAATGAATGAGAATCCTAAATTTTTTATTATGTAGATTTCTAATAGGAATAT